TTTTGAAACCCACCACTGGTCAGAACCCCAAAAGCTCAACTGGGAACTCCAGGTGAATCCTGAGAGGCGGGATGGCAAATCTATACCATGTGTGCCACAGGTGGCAGGCAGAGCCCTCTCTGCAGGCATGCGAAACATCGCCCCAACTCAGCTTCATGGCACATGCACGTGCACCTCCCACCAGCCAGCTAATTTTTGGGTCTTTGATGCACATGCGCCAGGGTGGGACGCATGCAGGAGACACATACGAATGTGCAAGGTGGGCAAACACATGAATGGGGGGAGCACAGGGAGTGGGGGGAATGCCCCCCACGGCCCATTTTTGGTCCCCGGAGGCTGCAGGCAGGCCTATCAGGCCCAAAATGGGATGGGGGGGTTCGGGTGCATGCACATGGGAGTGGGGGGGGCAAGGGGAGGTTGCTTGCATATGCACAGTGGGATGGGGCTCATGGGGGAGTGTCATGCGTGCTTTGCGTTATCGGTGCGGGCGCAAAATGACAAACAAAATGACATACAAAATGACAAAAAAGTTAGCCATCACTCCAAGACCAAGCCACCCTTTATGATGAGGGGCTATTATGCCACCCCCCAAAAAATGGGGAAAGAGAAGGGGAGTGCAGTTGATCCCCATGAAGTGAGGAGAAGTCCATCCAACCCTGCTTTTATTAGGGCATCGATCGGAACGCTGACACATCAAAGTCACACAGAAACTGTCCCTTGTGCCAATATTTTAATGATGGTTTATCTGTAGCAGAAGGAGGAGGAGGAGGAGGAGGAGGAGGAGGAGGAGGAGGAAGAAGAAGAGGCAGGGAAGGAAAGTCGGTGTGATTTATTAGCTAATTGGTTTCATTCCCATACTGTTGTTATGGGCCAAACGGTTGCATTAATTAACATAAAATGATAAGATTTGGATCTGTTCTGCCAACAAGCAGTTTGTCATGCTGCCAGTACATTTTGCTTAGTTTGTCCTTTCACCTGCTTTGTTTTTGTTGCGACAAAATTGCGTGGCTGCATTCAGCACCATCTTCCTGAAGAGGTGGTGGATTTCCTGGACAACGTTGTTCCACAGTAATTTCAGGTATGATAGCTGGGCTGAGCCCAGCTCTTTCAAAATCCAGGAGCAATTTTTTTCTCCTACAGGTCAGACTAGTCTCAGTCAAATTGCCAGAGTGAAGGAAACAACTCTAGGGCACCCAACATGGGGCCCATCAGTGGTAGGTTGCAGATGGTACACCCCCAGTATGGGCGTACCAGAGCCTGCCCGGAGCACTGGGTACCGTTCCGGTACGGTGCTCCAGAGGGCCCATCCGCCCTCCCGAGCTCCTGACCTGTCC